CAAGAGTGGGGAGAGTCTGCTCTCCCTCTCGAAATGCTCTCATATGGCCACGCGAATATATAGCCTCTGCCAGGGAAGTCCTACTCACTGCCTTCTCGTGGCGGGGGTGTTGTTCACGAAAGTGAGAGGACGAAAAGCGAACGTCCGGCGCCTTAACCGGGTCGGTGGATACAGAGGGTCCACCTAGAAAAGTGGGGAAACCCTAATTCCAAACCAATGGTGCACATGTGCTCCAGTACTTCAAGGGAACATCCAGTCGTTGGTCATCGGCTACCATGAGACTGAATCTCCTTACGTCGCTCGACTGCCTTGTGGATCAGATCTTTAGGTCAAAGGCTGAGGGTGTGGCCTACTAAGAAAACCACCTGCTTCGGTTTGGACACCTGGGGAGCAGTATCACAGCTCTCACACAAATCAAATGAGATTTGTGTACCGCATATGTATCTGGTTCCCCTTTTGTACCAATATTTATGTGTTTAAATAAAAAATAAATATTAATTTTAAAAGTTATTATGAAAATCAACAATTTTGAACTTATTTTTATTTCATATTTTTTACATTTGATTACGTTTAGTTTGAATCTAATTCTGCAGTTGTACAGTATCGAAAAGCATTAAAATCTATATGGTCTAAAAACGATATACTCAATGGTGACCAATGGGTGAAACGACCTGATCCGCCTAAATATCGACATAGTCGTCTTCGACCTATTCGAAGTGTACCATTCGTGACTGTACCGGGTGCTGATGAAAAAAATAATTTGGAAGAATACACTTCAGCAACACGAAATCTATTTGGATTAGATACTGAAATACAACAGTCAAATGTATAGAGATACTATAAAAATTAATTCATCTTTGATCAAATTACTTGTACATTTATACATTCGGACGTTTAATCATTCTTTTCCTGAATTCTCAAATTGATATGTACAATTATTTATTCGTGTGCTATTAAAAGTATAAGAGTGGTTATCCCTTTTCGGCCACTCATATTTTAGAAGGATGCTTCTTTAGGTGACTACGCAGCCAAAAAAGCAAACACTTTATGTCGGTCACGGAAGGCCTTTTTGTGAGTAGTTTTGGATGTGTTAGCTCCATATTTTTTAATATGTCGTATGTATCACGTGACAAAATCGTTAATCAAAACACCGACTTCTATAACCTTGTCCCTGTCATAAACCGATGACACGTCAATCAGCACTGGCAGCCTTGAGTCAACTGTAAATCCTTATTGGTCCTTATTGTATAGCAGCTTCTCGCATAAACCAGCCCATTCAGTCGAGAACACATATCAACCTCCACTATATGAATCGTATATTTTAGACATACGAAGTTTTTAAACAAAATGGATTATTGCTTACCATATGTTGGTGTTTTAAGATGTGCAGCCTGAAGACGCTTATCGAAAAATAATTACTTCTTGGTCTGTTGAATATCTGTATTTTTGATATGATTGGGGAAAAATTAAACCTGATTGTTAGGCGTTGATTCCATCGGAACCAGATGATGATCTTTAGTTATCATGTTTTTCACCTTCTCGCCATCGGTATTGTCTTTGGTTTCAGTCCACTTAAGGGCATGAATCAATTGTTCTGTCTCGTGAATAGCCATCATTCAGTCACACCGTATCACTCCATTTCGCCTATCAACCAATATTGGGTTTTATCCGTTCTAATAACCCTAATCCCGTTTATCAAATTATACAATGAGCAGGTAAATTATAGGACACCTAACGTATTGTTGTTCATTTCGACTACTGTTGGCGAATTAATGTTGTACAATATATCTTTTCGTAATTCACTTCATATAACATAAACAATATTCAACGCGATCATAGGAAAATATTGAATTGTTATCATTTAAGATCATTTTTACAGTTGGCATGTTTGAAGTGAATAGGTTTATACTTCGTCATAATTGAAATTAAAACTGTTTATTAAGGTTCTAACAAGAAGATCACAAGTTACCGAATTCTTATTACTAGATATAAATTCCTTCCTTATAACGATAACTTAGAGTACACTTTTCTAATTTATACTTTTTACTTGGCGTTGTTTTACTTCACTTTTGTCTCAGTTGAATATTAAGCTTTACTTTTTACATTTCTGCTTTCTTGGGTTCTCTTATCTAAAGGTTATCGTTAAAGCGTTTTGTGTATCAGTTCTTGCTTATTATATCATTTGTATTAATTGCTGTTTGTATTAAGAGAATCTCGATCATTCTTACTTAGAATTTACTGTAGATTCAACCAATTCAATCTTAGAACACAGTAAGTTCACGTTAAAATGACTTTCGACACCTTTTTTCATACAACTGAAATATTTGATTCGACAGTGACAAAAATGGATTCATTTATTTAGTTAAGATGTAGCACCGTATTCCCGATCCAATTAGATTGTCAAAAATACAAGGACGGAAACTAGGTGGTAACTATTTGTGACTAGTACTATTTAGAAGTCACACACATTAATGTACAGTATTTGATGATCGTATTGATTAAAATCAAACCACAGATGAGTTTCGTCTATTTATATTATCACCATCTTGAACTGTGAAGCTTATAAACAATCTTTCACTCCAACCTATCGCAAGTCTTTGAATATATCTTGACTGCTGAGCTAACATAGTTAGTTAAAGCAATTAGTCCCTTTGAACAAACTGTTCTCTCCTTAAACCTACCCTGGTAATAAATGCTTATTATTCAGAGTGATTAGGTGTCAAGTTGTTTTCACATTATTTTATCATTATTATCCTTGTCTATTCTTACCCCTATTTCCAGTCTAGTTGACCTTTTATTTTTATATATAAATGTTCTTAACAAGTATATGTGTGATCAGATTGTTCGAAATGTATTGCGCTAATATACCACATAGTTCTGATAATCTTCGTCTTCTTATTGCATTATCGAGATAGTTAGTTAAGTCGATTCAGCTACAACCCTAATGAAATCAGTTACAAGCACATAAAACCGAGTCCTGTGTTACGAATCTGGCTGAATGGCGGATAATAGAAGTGATCAAATAATCTATAGTTGATCAAACTATTCTAGATATAATTCTCATAAATTCGCATTATTTAAGAAACTTGAGGTAGTAAATAATGGCTTATAATAACTCTTAATAATGTTGATTTTTTATGTGACGTATCCCCAGGGTCACTGTAGCATTCTTTATTTACTCAGCTGGTGTTCATCATGTACTGTACTCATCCGAAAAATCGATGGAAAACTAGGGAGCTCTGAACAGTTTTTTTGTCTTGGTGTGATGAATCCCTAGTAGTGTATCCCTTAAACATGGAAATCTAAGTTGGCGGTATAACCTGATGTGCATAATGAGTAACCACTGCTGTAAGTAGTATTGATCAGTCTACAAGCTGTAGTACCTGTCTTACATCAAGTTTGCGATAAGTGAATTGACACTATTGGAAGGTATCCTTTACTATTGAGATAATGTTATGTATCCTCAAGTTATTGTGAAGCCTGAGTTCACTCTTAACTTGTTTGACATTTTTAACGAAATGTAGACTGGTTAGACCATAATATCCAATACGGTTTGGCTTATCATATATCTCCTAATATTGTTGATTTCCTATGTCAGGTATCTCCAGGGTCACTGTATCATTATTTACTCAGCTGGTGTTCATTATGTACTGAACTCACTCAAAAAATCTATGGAGCTCTGAACAGCTATTTTGTCTTCGTGTGATGAATCCTTAACAGTGTATCCCTTAAGCATGGAAATCTAAGTCGGCGTTGTAGCTTGATGATCATCTAGTGCATCGCTAAGACAATTCTCTAAAGACTAAGATGTCGTTATTGCACATGAAAAACTAGATGACTAATACTGTGTTTTTACTTTCAGATAGACTGGAGTGAGTAATAATTTCGTCCTGTCAGAATACAGCGGTCTCGAGTGATGTTAGAGGTATAAGGTCGGTTTTCACTTCCCCACCACATACACTGTGGACGGGTTCTTTTAGAGGTACCTGAGAAGGAAATTGGGTTAGAGTTTATCTTAGTGACCTGAGAGTTTGATCACAGTGCCTAAAGGACAACCGCTTGGGGACGGTCACACATTACATTTTTGTGGGTAATTTTTGTTGCTTCCGTACCTGTTGAGACTTTACAGATATCCATGGGATAAGGTGAGGTGCGTAATTTCATGGTCGGCCTTTTCTAACCCTACTCTTTCTTTGTGAGAAGGCAGCATCGCTGTTACGCTGGTTGTCTGAGGAAAGCATAATCTACTGCCGTCATACCTCTGTAAGGTCGGCAGTACGACTTCGCTCTCGGACCTTGAGCTTGCTGCTTTTAGTCTTATCGGTCTTCAACAGACCTGTCTGGCATGGTAGGAACGATTATTCTAGCCAGTATAGCTCGGTCGGTTCATCAAGACAGGCAAGCCCAACCACCACGTAAAGGTAGCAGTAACGGTCAGGAAAATGAAACTTCCAAATTGAATCATCCTGTTGTAAGATTGAATCATTACCCAAATTTGTCGATTTCCAGTCAATATTATTAGATTACTGGAAGTTGAAAACGTCGTACAAACTAGTATATGTTATTAATGATAAAGGATTATTTAACCATCTGTTCCTTGATTTTACATATATGCGAGTGTATTCAACTTCTTCCCCATTTCTAGTTTCTAATAGAATAACTGTTTAATTTTATAATGCGTTGGTTGGTTATTAGCTTGCAATTCCTTATTCTGCTTATCCATTTTGGGCTACTGATAAGTAGTATACTTATATTGTATGGAGAAAAAACACCGTTGGTTAAGCGCTCGCGCGCGAAACTGATAGGTCCTGGGTTCGAATCCCACGAGGCTGGATCGTGGATGGGCACTGCTTAGGAATCCCACAATAGGACGAAACGGTCGTCCAATGCTTCCAGGTTTACCATGGTGGTCTAGCTTCAATTGACTCATGATTTCAACTATAAAATTATTGAAATCTCTACAAAAGCCCCCTCTGATAAAAATCGAAATAGACAAATATACGTAAATATATACAGTATTACATGAATTTAAAAAAAATTAATTAAAATCATCATGTAAGAACAGATCTATGATAGACTGAGCTTTACTACTGCTAAAAGGAAGTATATGAAGTCACAGTATGTTGAAATTTTCTTTAAAAATATATCTAATGTAAATACTGTATTGGTAGTAGTGTGGTGTATGCTACTTATATCGACATAAGTAGTATATAACACCAATCAGAAATAGTATGCTTAATAGCAAAAGTTAAGGAATATCTAATTGAAGAGAAAACAAATAAAGAGTAATTGTTATGACAATAAAGGAATAATACATTTTGAAATAATTGATGAAGGTTTTGCAAAATAAAGTATTGAATGTATAGTTGTTGTTTTTTTTACATTTTATCAAAGAACTCTTGTAATTTTGTAGTTATACTTTACATATGTTCTCGTTCATACCAGTAATATAATGCAGTTTGGAAGACTAGTATCTATGTGAAATGATGTGCATTATTCAGTTACTACTAATAATATTAATAATGAAATCTTATCAAAATAGAATAATAGTGCTAAGAAGAAATCCATACAAATACACTATATATTTGATTTTTATTCTTTATGAATAGTTTATTATCTTTCTTTTGTTCTACTATGTATTGTATAACTATTATATTGTGTAGTTCTAGTACCATTATGATGCTGATAACGATGGTGATGATGATGATGATGATTAACATCTTTCTGAGATTTCCTTGAATTATTATTTATCATTGTTGATTGTACTATGTTATCAGATGAACTTGGTACATTGTTTGTTGATGGATTTCTATATAAAGTAGGTCTTATGTTTCGATGATTCTCTAAGGATTCATTTAATTGTTTCTTCATCTTTGGTTGTAAATTATTATTAGTAATAGTATTAGTATTATTAGTATTTAATTCCGATATTGATTTTTGATTATCATTAAATTGTTGATTGTTATTGATTTTATATTTATTTCTATGATTACGTAATTGAATTGGTATAGCTGGTTGTATAATTTGTTCACCAAATATTGGATCATATATACCATTATCATTATATTTTATTGATTTTGTATAATTCATATTATCTATAGATGGATAACTATTTAATATTGTATTTGATTGTTGTCGATTTAGATTAGTATATGACTTTGGTATATTCGAAACAGTTCTTGGTAACGAACCATTATTATCATTACGATTATAATTAAATAGAGATTCACTCCGTTTAAGACCTGTTAAAGATTGTTGTTGCTGTACTGGTTGTTGTTGTTGTTGTTGTTGTCTTATTGGGATTTCAATTGATTTATGCATAAAGCATAAACCGCATAATGTTGTTTTACGACGGGATTTCGAATAAGCATATAAATAAATTTGTAATAATATAAAACCTAATAATTGTACTAATATAACAACTAATAAACATGGTAAATAATACCATGATTCAGGATATTGATAATAATCATACCATAAACCAATCATTATAGAATTTTCTATATAATAAAAGAAATAATAAATTAAATATCTTGTACGAGTGTATTTGATACCAGCATTAAAAAATTCATATAAATTAATATATGAATGAAGTAAATCAAGAAAGAAGTTTTCACAAAGATCACTATGCTGTTTAAGGAAAAGAAAAAAAAAAGAAAAGAGAAAAAATAATAAAGAAAACTATAAGTATTAATTATATATACTTCAAATTATGAGTTAATTGAAGATAGATCACCATGGAAAACGTGGAAGCATTGGAAGGCCGTTTCGTCCTATGGTGGGACTCCTCAGCAGTGCGCATCCACAATCCCACACTCACGAGATTCGAACCCAGGACCTATCAGTCTCGCACGCGAGCGCTTAACCACTAGACCACTGAGCCGGCATCCAACGGTGTTAATGTTTAACTTCAACCAATACACGAAGTTGATCAACCATTCACCAATGTCCCAACTGACCTGGTTGAACTCCATTGATTACTGCTTCTCACTAGAACTCCAGGAAATACCACATGGAGTCAGTCACTAGTGAGCATATGATCATTGTCAGAAAGAAGTTTTGTGGAGATTTTAGTGATTTTATATAGTTGAAATCATGAGTCAATTGAAGCTAGACCATCATGGAAAACCTGGAAGCACTGGACAGCCGTTTCGTCCTATTGCGGGAAGCCTCAGCAGTTCGCATCTAATATGGTCCAGCTTCAATTGACTCATGATTTCAACTATATAATATCACTAAACCCCCTTTTCGAATATATTTATGTTGTATTGTATATTTGTTTAATTAGATTTGAATCTTGATCAGTGTATTGGATAGTATAATATTAGCTTTTATATAAACATATCATTGATAATTAAAGGATTAAATTATTTTGTTATGTATATATTTTTTCTTTAAAACTGAATTTTGAATATATATATATATATATATATATAGCATAGGCCGCACACCAGTATTCTCCATCCAACTTTGTCCTGGACAATTCTTTCCAGTTGTAATTCATCCTTTTCATATTTGCTTTTATTTCCTGACGTAATGTGTCCTTTGGCCTTTCTCTTCTCCGTTTCCTTTCCGGATTTCAAGTTAGGGCTTACCTCGTGATACAGTTTAATGATTTCCTCAATGTATATCCGATCCACTTCCAACGTCTTTTCCTAATTTTCTGTTCAGCTAGAAGCTGGTTTGTCCTCTCCCACAGAAGGCTGTAGCTGATGGTATGCGGTCAAATGATGTTCAAAATCTTGCATGGACAACTATTTATAAATACTTATACCTGCTTGATGATGGTTATAGTGTTTCTTCACGTTTCAGCTCCATACAGTAGGACAGTCTCGATGTTCATATTAAAGATTCTCACTTTGAAATTAGTTGACAGTTGTTTTGAGTTCCATATGTTCTTCAATTGTAGGAATGAGGTCCTTCCTTTGCCGATTCTCGCCTTTACATCTGCACCAGATCCTCCTTGTTCATCAATGATGCTTCCCAGGTACGTGAATGATTCCCTATCTTCCAGAGTTTTTCCATCAAACGTGATTGACTTGGCGTTCTCCATGTTGCCTTTGAGGATCTTACTTTATCCTTTGCTTATGTTGAGGACTACTGAATCAGAGGTTACTGCTACACTAGTTGTTTTCATCTTTATTTGTTTGTGTGTATGGGATATATATATATATATATATATATATATATATATATATATATATATATATATATAACAACAAAAAAGAATTTTGATAATGTAATAAGAAAACGAAGATTATCAGGACTATGTGATATATTAGCGCAATACATTTCGAACAATCTGATCACACATATACTTGTTAAGAACATTTATATATAAAAATAAAAGGTCAACTAGACTGGAAATAGGGGTAAGAATAGACAAGGATAATAATGATAAAATAATGTGAAAACAATTTGACACCTAATCACTCTGGATATATTACCAGGGTAGGTTTAAGGAGAGAACAAACTGTTTTTGAATACGCAAAGGGGGTTTAAATTTTCGTATGGCTAAAGATTCAATAAACCTTAGTATACGCAAGTGGCTAACAGGACACAGTGGCCGAGTGGATAACGCGATGGCGTTTGAAGCGAGGGTACTGAGTTCGAGTCCCAGAGTGAACATCAACTCTGAGATGCAGGTACATCCAGCTGACTAGTTCCAAATAGGACGAAACGTGCGTCTAACTGGATTCCACTGCTAGCCACTATCCATCTTTGCTTATCATGCTTGTGAATCAAGGCTATATCGAGGCAATACACACAGTATGCACATATGCCAATTAGAGACTGACCAGTTACAGTCCTAAAAACATCAATGGGAAGATTCATACAAACAATACTAAGTAAACTTAGTATACGCCCTTTTACACCTTTAAACAACACAACAAAAGCCGAGTTAAGATCAATCTTATGACCTGTTTCGATTATATGTTTGGCAATAGAGGATGATGGATGTTTATCCTCTACTCTGATTTGGGTCACTCGACTCTATTTGTTTCCGTAACCATTTTGCTGCATGTTCACCCACCCTAATTTTCAGATCACGATTGCTCCTCCCTATGTATGTGTGACCACACACACATTTAAATTGGTAAACACAATCGTTTTCATGTCTTCTAGGTTTTGAATGAAGCATGGACCTCGTTCTTTCTTCGCTGCAACAATACGTTTTGTTGATTACTGATTTAATCCTTTGTTTCAATAAAAGTCTATTTGCATCACTTTTAAATGGTAAGGTGATGTAAACAGTCTTTCTCTCCACCAAGGCTACAGTAGATCTCACTGTACCATGAACTTTCCCCATTTCTAATCTAGTTGACCTTTTATATTTTTTTTATATATAAATGTTCTTATCAAGTATTATAGGTGTGATCAGATTGTTCGAAATATATTACGCTAATATCTTATTACATAGTTCTGATAATCTTCATCTTCTTATTAATACACTATCAAAAGTTATCAAATGGACTAATTGATTTAAACAAAATAAAACAAAAGGAAGTTAATCAATGAAAACTTACTTTATTAACTTGATGATTTAAATGATCTAACCGATTAGTATATTGTCTAGCAATTAGAATTGTTATTAAAACAATTAAATAATGTCCAATTAATATAATGAATATAAATAAATAAAATCTTCCAGTAAATAATACAATTGATATACAACGTAATGTTATATGTATTAAATGTATTATAAATAATAATAATAATCCACCAATATGTACTTGTCCAATACCACGTTCATATTCTAATTCATTTTGTTTATATTGTACTGGATAGAAATGGGTAAAACTTGTACTTATCCATAACATACAAAAGATTGTACATATTAAGAGGATAATTTCTATATAACAACAAAAAAAAAACAAAAAACAAAGAAGACATTAGACCAAGGGGGTTTTGCGGAGATTTTAGTAATTTTATATAGTTAATATCATGAGTCAATTGAAGTTAGACCACTGTGGAAAACCTAGAAGTACTGGTGTTAGATCGGCTTACAATAAACTCTATCAGAGCCTCCAGAGGCTCATAAAGAGACCAACCAATCAGCGATTAGTTAGAAGCTATGCTACTAAAATGCTACTAAAGTAACAAGGTCCTGATTGGCTGTTAACATACTGTTACTATGGGATCTCAAGGTCTTTTAGCCACTATAAAACCCCTGTTTTTCTGTACATAATTGAACCTAGTAGTAAAGTGCTTCTCTGATACTCGTGTCTTCTCTCTGGTCTTCCAAGTCGCTCAGTAGTGCTAGCCTGGGGTTATCCGAATAGCTAGGATCCGAATAAAACGTTCAACTTATGAGTCATAACAACTGGACGGCCGTTTCGTCCTATTATGAGACTCCTCAGTGGCAGTACGCATCGACGACCCCGCCTCGCGGGGTTGGTCGCGGAATTTCGTGGATTGGTTGAGGTTAGACATTAACACCGTTGGATGCCGGCTCAGTGGTCTATCGGTTAAGTGCTCTGGTGCGAGACTGGTAGGTCTTGGGTTCGAATCAGGCGAAGCGGGGTCGTGGATGCGCGATGCTGAGGAGTTCCGCAATAGGGCGAAACGGCCTTCCAATGCTTTCAGGTTTTCCATGGTGTTCTAGCTTCAACTGACTCACGATCTTAACTATATAAAGAAGACATTATTAGGTGAATAATCTATGAGGATCTTTAACGAAACTTGGGAATAAAACTTTTGAGGAGGATAATGTATGAAGGAAAGTAGTTATTTGCTAGTGAGTTTCAGGATTCCAGTTAAAAAGTACCTCTCTTTCTTTCAAATGCCCTACTATGGCTTAGGGTGGAGAGAGTCAGTTCTCTCTGTCAAAATACTCTCACACGATCATGAGTATACAGACACTAGCAGGGAAGTTTTACTTACTGCCTTTTCGCCGATGGTGTGTTGTTTACGAAACCGAGAGGAGAGAAAGCGTATGTGCAGTGCTTTAAATTGGCCGGTGGATACAGAGGGTTCATCTAGGACAGTTGGAAACCCCTCTTTCTAAACCAATGGTTCACATGGGCTCTATGATCTCGAGAGAACAAATGGCGTATGAACCAATTATTGTTCTAACGTTGGTACACTGCTTTATGGATCAGAGCTTTAGATCAAAGGCTCCGGGTGTGGCGTCCTAAGGGAACCAGTTGTTTTAGTCTGGGCACTCAGGCAGTATTACAGCCCACTCACTTGCGGCGCATATGTATTCAGTGCTTCTTTATACCAATATTTATATGTTCAAATAAATCATAAGTTAAAATAGACAGGAATCCAATGATTATCAAACTGAAAATAGACTGTCGATCTCGTCTGTTAATGTAAACATTAAATGTATTTATCCTATTATGTTTTTCATTTGCTGTTTCATTATTAGTATCATTACTGATGAATAGAAATTGAGAAAAAAACAATCATGTAAACAATTTCAAAAAAAATATCAAAATACTTTTTTTGAAAACTTCTAGGAATGTCTTGAACGATACAAAACAAAGATGGAACAAAAATGTTTTAGGAGAAATGAGGATTATTTCAAAATGGATAAGATTGTTGTACGCTACAATTTTCAATTCATTCGGTTCCTATTTCAATTAGTATATTCATTGAACAAAAAATGTACATCAAATTTGAAAGTAGTGTGGTGTGAGCTACTGATATCGACATAAGTAGTATATATGGTGAGTAAGGAATAGAATATCTGACAGCAGAAGATTGAGAAGATCAAAAAGAGAAGAACAGAAATAAAAAGCAATTTGTGTGGAAATCCAGGAACAATGAAGCCTGAGGCAATTGAAGAACATTTTGCAAATAGTGTATCATAGCATGGTTTTTGTATTTTACCAAGTAACGTTGTAATTTGCGCTAAATAAATAGTTGGTTGTCCTCACCTGTGTTCTCATTCGCAACAGTAGGTTGGCATCAAGAACTAATGTAAACTACAAAATCTTAAAAAATTAAGGATCAATGGACAGATTTTATGTCTTAGTCTGAGATTTATAAAAGATGTTAACTTAATTGATCTAACCCAAGTGTTTGAGTATACAATATAAGGCATTTCTAGATGTACAACAAAACAGCAAATGAAACAAGGTTGAATAAACATTCTCCATTTTTGGGAGTCAGAATTAATTCGTTTTCAACAGCGTCTGTATTGGATGGTAAGTACAAAAATTATCACAAGACCTATATTTACGAAATCTATGCATAAATACAGAACAATATACTTTCTAGCTACTGTAATGAAATTTATGATTTCTAGTCAGCCATCATCTCACGATGTTATGAATGTTCAGAAATCTGAAGATCACAAGCTTCTTTCTGTTCAGATTTATGGACTATCATCACTTGAATCAAAGACATGTTCAATTTTCCTAGGTTTTTATTATTTTCACAACTAATATCAATTTGGTTAGCAGAGATGGATAGTGGCTAGCAGTGGAATCCAGTTTGACGCGCGTTTCGTTCTATTTGGGACTCGTCAGCTGGATGTACCTGCATCTCAGAGTTGATGTTCACTCTGGGACTCGAACTCAGTACCCTCGCTTCAAACGTCATCGCGTTATCAATTTGTCATGAAAATTACTTTCGGAATCGATAAAATCTTCACAAGTTGCTTGGTAAAACAGAATAAGAAAAAAATGGTATGGTATTGTAAATTTGTATGTACATAATAAATTATTGATCTAACTGCTGACCTTGTGGTATGTGCTACTGATGTCGATAGATATAAGTAGTATGTATCATCAATCGAAAGTGAAATGCCTGGTGGCAGAAGGCTTAGAAAATCGAAGAGAAGAGAACGAGAACAGAGAGTGATTAAAAATGGAAATGAAAGAATAACAAAGTCTGAGACAATTGATGGATATTTTGGATACGAAGTATCACTGTATGATTCTCAGATTTTACCCAAGTATTCTATAATGTTGAATTACATGTATTTACATTTGTTTGTCTGCACTTGAGTTCTCGTTTACTACAATCTAGCTGTTAAAATTTAGTGTATTCAGATATGAGTATGATTTATTTTAGGGGTCATATAAATTCATATCAAAAGTCTTTGTTTTTTCACTAAACACCGTCGGATTCAAAGTTTCATTGTGTCAAATAAGAGTCAGTTTAGCATTCTGTGGACATAACAGTAACAGATATAATACTACCGGAACTTAACTTCGAATTCAAAGAAATCATAAAAAAGTGCCTTTAATTCTAGAAAGTAGATTCAGAGTATCAGTAAGTAAGTAGCACTAAGTTAGTTAAGAATAAAAGAATGTCCAGCATATTATTCATACATACACTTGCTAAACACATATGTGAACAATATCCTGAATGGTTATCTATCTAAAAGATTTATCCAAATCAGTTAAAAGTTCAATCCTTGTACAAGAAAATCAACTCTAATCTCATTCTGTAATTTCATGAATTCTAGTGAGTAATTTTGACTAGTTGAATTCAACTATGCCAGATTGAACCAGTTACCTACTAATAGCATTGAATTATGACTTTACAATTTCACGAAATGATTTATATCAAATGTTTTACATCCAATAAGTGGCAACACTACAATTAAAAGATTAAGAATTTATAATGATATCTAAGTGCCTTGAGTTTGATTTCGATTGGTTATGTCACAGGTGAGCACAACTGAAAAGTCTTCGCACGACAACAATTTAATACTTCTTGATTTTCAATGGATATCTAGCTAACATCAGTTCCTTATGTAAACTATCAAAAACACAAACAATCTTGACAAATTCCCAATACTAATAGTTAATTCATGAGTTTCAAACTCACTTTGTTTATTTTAATTCAGATATCTAGTTTATCATTAGAATTATGTTTACAAGAACTTATGCTTGTTCATATGATTGAATTGAGTACTATCTAATGTTTCTTTCTATATTATTAACATCTTTAAGTATTAATATAGATGAATAAGTAACAACGTATAGATATTCAGTAAAAAAATACCCTAACAGAATACCTATTTAACTCCTTTTTATATATAAACTAATAAAGAATGATGAGATTCAAACTGATACAATGGTTAAGTTACTATGACAAAATATACACACGGAATTGAACATTGATGAGGCTTTCGTAACTTTAAAACTTCATAATAGAAAATATTTTTAAAATAAATATTCTTAACAAAACGGAAATTCTATAAATACTGTTATCTCATTTTTTATTTGTAAATAAGTAAATGGAAACCATGGTTACCATGACGAAAGACAGCAGCGTTTTCTGATTGGTTGATGCTCACTGGATTCATTATTACAATGAGGAGTATTTTGGAAAGATTTCATATTTTATTTTATGTATATGATTGGTGTTTAAATAACATTCATCATTAAGACATATCGTTAATTTTAAAGGAACTACTGTTTATTACGTAATCCATAATCATGTCACATAATGTTGAAAGTATAGATACAAATAGTAACCTAATAGACTCATAATGAATCTCTTATAGGATTGATATCTGTTCATATTAATTAAATATTAACAAAATGTAGTTGAAATGGTGGAGAAGATTTGTAGCTCAGGTGGATGATTTTGATGGAGTTTTGTTCTCTAAGCTGGATGATTTGGTCCAGCTCAAAGAACAAAACTCCAACAAAATGTAGTCATGTTCAGTCAAGTACAATACTACTCCTTTTACTTGATGAAATAAATCGTCAATTTAAACCTAGTTAGTAATAACAAGGTAGACAGTTTATACGATTCGATGTTCATTCCAAACTAGATAATTTGAACTGATCCATTAGGACATAAAATTTGAATGTTCTAGATTTTGTTATATGAAGGGTATGAATAAGTGTGGATAAGGAACCTCATAACAAAACAAATTAAGTG